AACCTTGCCGCTGCAGAATGCGGAAATTAAGCCTAGAAATCGTAATGATTCCGCAGAATGAGGAATGGTTGGAGACCCTGCTTTTATGTGTCATTAGATTATATATGTTTATGCTCTACTCTGTGCATGCATGCTCTACTACAAGTTACCCATGGGTAGGGACCATGGGGGACCATATACTGAGTACCTATAGCAGTAATAATGTACCATATAGAATCAACCATCATGAAAAACCAAGAAAATACCAATAATATCTTTTCATTTAATATCTGATATTCTATCTATTTCTATCTATCTATATCTGATATGTCTATCTATTCATATGGTACTTTAATCTATAACCTATCAGGTTATATTCTCTTGGGAATAAGTGATCTCCCTCTCCCAAATGGTATCGCCTACGACCTGCTGGTTAGTACGGTGAAAAGTTAGCCAGACAAATAACTGGTTTTCAGCCTCAACATTTTCACCCCCCCCCCCAAAGCACAAAATATGATTATACGGCTATAATACGCGTTTTTTACAGTCACACAAACACATACACACGCACACTAACGGACGCGCGGGTATAGTCGAATGCATGCGTGCGCGTGTATTACAGGCGTAAATTCACATTTTGTGTCTCAGGAGGTGAAAAAGTTTCGGCTGAAATACGGTCATTTGGCTGGCAAACGTTTCACCGTGTTCTTGACGTTGGGGGCGATACCATCCGCGAGAGGGGAGTAAGGAATGTGATTCCTGTTAACTTTTATTCACTGTTAATGTTACTGCCTGGCATAGCAGATGAAAGGTCAGCATAAGGAAACGGCAACTGTTTATGATTCTTATTAAATCTTTATTGCATGTAATGCAACTAGAAATACATGTACTGAAGACAGTCTTTTTCATGGAGAAGAAATTTGATACATGCAATAGTATTGAGCAGTTAAAATAATAAAATTTCTGAGTGATACAGTACATTGTGTGATACATAGTTCTGAGTGATACATGTTACATCAAAGCTTTACATATTGTTACAGGACTGTGACATGAATGTACGTGAATGACAATATGAAACAACTATTGTGTACCACGTCGGTAATCAGCGAGATATAGCGGCTGTTTATTCTGCTGTCGGCACTCGTGTAAAACAATTATTTTTAGTTTATATATGAATCTAAGGTATATAATTATGCTGACGCTAAAAGATAAAACTACTTGTCACAGATTATCCTTGCAAAAAACATGTCCTTGAAAAAATAATTCACACTTTTGTGGGAACCATATTATCATGTCTTCGCCTGCCCTGAACGCATGGTCACAAATCTTTGTTACAGACAAGACTGTGCTGTGCAGTCAGCGATGTCCTGCCCTCGATCTACGGAAGCTGTGCGAGAGACTGCGCCACGGCAACGACGTCGCCATGGAGACGAGGCGCACGCGACGCGACAGCGCGCGTGGCTCCCCCTGTCGGCAGTGCAGGCAGGTGCCGTGCATGTGCAGGAATCCGGGCGCCAGGATGGCGAGGACGTCGGCGGGTAGCGCCACATGTGCATCACCGCGCCGCTCGAGCGACGTCGGTGGCGTAGGGGGCGCCACTCCACGGCCCGCACGCGCGAGGGGCGGCGATTCGTGGAAGGAAGTGCCGCCAAGTGCGTACGCACTACTGTATCAGCTGCTGGACTTGAACCCGAGCACCAGGATTACGGCTGCCGAGGCCATGGAAAGCCCGTTTCTAACAGAAGGTAGGGAACCGGGATGTCGCGAGAAATAGCGCAATATGTGCGGAGACGTGCATGTATTGTCGCTGTACTTGTGTTGTCGGTTTCTGCTGGTGTCACTGTCCGTATTGCATCACTGAAACGGAATCGCACAATTTTTTGTCTTCGGATGAAATGACAGCACTCTATATTTTCTAATACCCGAGACTGTATATATCGTTCTTGAACTGTGAATGCACTAGAACTGCCAAATTTGCTTGTGTTGAGGCCGCTTTCTGCGTGCGTGCGTGCGTGCGTGCATGTGAGTCCACGTTCGAGTTGTACGTGTGAAAACATTCCCATAGACATAGAGAGCAAGTCAAATTATGTTTTGAAATTTATTGCATGTAATCTTCTAATCTAAAGGCAGAGTCGCCTCTCTAATCACTCTGATTGGCTAATAATTGTTTTCACGTTTCTCGTCACGGTTACTATGGTGACGCAATATGTTACTGAGAGCTAGGTTATTGCCTAGTTGTCCAATACGAAAAATATTCTGTAACAAAGTTTAATAAATATATACTAATTGATGTTTTTACAGCATTCTACACGTGTTTACTTTCTGTACCACCCTTCACGTCATCAAGTGAGGAAGCAAAACATATCACAGCATTAGAAGGACGATTCATCTTCTCTAGGTGAAAACTAAGGCTCATAGGGTCTGTCCCCCAGGGTACTGCCGGAAAGTACCCTGGTCACTATTTGATATGGTTAGGGTTAGGATTAGGGTTAGTGTTAGGGAGTAGGCGTAGGCGACTCCCTAGACTCGTTAGTGGAGTAGGCGAGGTACGGTCCGGCATATTAGATAGTACCAGGGTACATTCCGGTATACCGGACCGTACCCAGGGTACGTTCCGGCAGTACCCCGGGGGACATAGACCCTCTCAGTGTGCTGCAGTCACAGAAGTCTAGCTGTCACAGACATAGAGGACATGATCATCTGAGTGGTGGGAATCATGGATTTGCAGCAATATCCTGTCAGGAGTAGTAGATTCCTGATCCTATTGGTAATGAATTGAATTAATTGAAACTTCTCAACTCACCGTACAGTAATATAACATGAACTTCGTATACGGAATACCCGCTTTTATACACGAATACATCTATATGTATATGCGTATGCAACGCATGCACAAATTTACACAATTCACTACAGAAAAGATCGTCAATCACCCTGACATGTAAATATACTGAATATATGATCTACAACATATTCCTACTAATAGTGACGTATCTTCAATGATACCCATACGTACAAACATAGTACGATTACTGTATGATACAAATATGGTGTATATAGTCGTAATAGCAGCAAGAAAGCAGCTTTGACCGTACGAATATACAACCAGATGAGACGGGATACCAGAGAAGTGTTGCCAAAAGGAGGTGTTGATCCTATACCCGCTGAGCGGAGATCTTGCGCGCAGTTCCGCGGCAAGGCGCACGCGACCGCGGCAACGTCCTACGACAGTATGCAGCGCTGGCAGCTATGGATCCGTGCGGCGAACCCATAGGCCGGCGCACGGATCCATAGCTGAGGGGGTCAAAGCCCTTCTCGTACGCCAGATTCCGGCCTATTTAGAGAGTATTCCGTACGCCGAGGTGCGGTACGCCGTACGCGGCGATGACAGTATAACGTATTCCGTACGCGAAATAATTGATACTATGAGGGCAGGAAAAGTTCAGAAAAAAACACAATCCCCGATCGTTTCCAGTTAGGGACAGTCGCACGTAGGATCGCGAACAGACGGGAATCAGTCGAATCCAGTCGGTGTACCAGTCTAATGTTAATGAATGTATCATAAGTTCCGGTTGTAATGCAACAACCCACGACAAGGGGCTGGGACTGATTTAGGCCATTTAC